CTGCTGAATGTGCTGAAGTGATTCAAATGCAGTGCTGTTAAAATATTGTCTTCAGTACTGGATAAAATGTATACTATGTGACAGAATACATTTAATCATACTTTCCCCCCCCCTTTTTTTAAGTAGGGGACTTCTATATATTAGGTGTTGCAGAAGTAAAATAAATAAATAAATAAAAATGGAAAGTTCTCATAGAATTTTTCTGGAATCAAATGTAGATCGCCTCTAGTTTTGTTCCTGTTTTAAAGATTTAAAGTGATGTCATCCAAAAGTTGAAAAGAAAAATATTTTTGTGGCACTGGGCTATTAAATTATGATCCAGAAATCTGAGTAGAGCTCTCACACTTCTGCATTCTTTCATTTTTTTTTCCTCAGATCATTTCTCCTCTACGTTTCTTCTCTCCATCTGTAAAATCAGGATTAGAACAATCTCCACCTCTGATCTGAGAAATATCCCATGTGTAGCCACAGGACGCATGTGCATGCGCAGTCACACACACAAGTCCACTCTCAAATCATCTTTGGACAACATCAGAATAATCCACACGCTGACATAGAGTGTACTAATAATTAGAGGAGAAACAAATCTAGAGCTACAATGTGAATTTAACCGGTGCTTCTGCACATACAAGTGACTTAAAATCCCAGAAATCCATTTTCAGATGTTCACAGAGTACTATTACTTGAACAAGGGTTTTCCTCATAGTTGTCTTTGTGCCACCACTGTGTAAATAGGGGTAGAGTTGCAAGTCTCGTTGGTAGCTCTAAAGATCTGTAATCTTCCAGCTAAAGGTGTTGTTGGCTTTCTATATCCTCAGCTTCTCCAAGAGCAATGAGAGAATGTGGGTTGGTAATAGGAACTTACCTGTGTACGATGAAAGGGTAAAGGTATGTTTTAGGCTCTGGACCTTGCCCACTGGTTAATACCTAATAGCGATGAGGATTGTAATTTGGATCTTTCACAGTACTGATGTGCAATGGTATCTTTAAGTACCATAATGCTGTTGAGCCTTAGGGGCAAAGGAGTTTCTGAAGAGTTGTTGGATGGAGGATTCCCATTTTCCTCCTCGCTAACAATGTGCTTCATTCCACGATTACTTTTGCTTAAAACCGCATCTTCACATGTGAGCAAAGTAGACAGAGATGAGAATGTGTGGTTTGCTGAGGCTCCAGAGTCTGGTGGTGTGTAATTTTTTTACATTGCGCCCAGTGCTCTTTGGTCTGTACAAAGGGTCTTAGTCCCCCATGTATTCTCCCTCCGTGGCAGCGGCTCCCAGGGCAATGGATGAAGGGGAGCAGACTACCCCTGTGCATGTGAGGAGAGCAGAACGTCTCTTTTGTGGTGCTTTCTGCAGATCTGAGAGTACAATTTTGCCTTAAACTTTTTAAATGAAAGTGAAACTTCAGACTGGTCCTGTCATCTGCAGAGTGCAGCAACTGGAAGGAGGGAGAACAGTGCTTCCTTTTTGAAGCTCAGGTGACACCTGGTCAAACTTCAAAAACAAATGCTATTTTTGCTCTGGTCTGGCTGAATAGTACTTTGCAGATGAATTAGCTGTTGCAAGTTCCTGTCACTGTTGAAAAATTTAGGGATATTTTCCAACTTATCTTCTATATGTGTGAAGGATTGAGGGAGTCAGAATGAATCCTGACACAGTCATCCACACGGGCTTCGTGTTAAAAATCCGGATAGCTGGAGAAGAGCTGTGTAGCGTACCTGTGGGATACCAGGTGGCCCAAACATTTGGAATAGCAGAAAAAAATCTGCATCTTCTTCCAGTTTCCAGAATAAGCTGAGGACGTTAATGCTGCATGTTTAAGAATCATACTCTAATTACACTAAGATATTTAATGGCATGTACTAGATTTATTTATCTTTATTTCTAACCTTCTTGGGTGGCTAAAGAATCAAGCTCTGCAGCACAGCAGAGGTGTCTGTTAACATCCGATAAAATTCTGGTGAACTGTAAAATACTTTATGTATTCTTGCTCTGCATGTGTGCTGGTATAATACGTAAAGTCCTTAATATATTAATACATATCAATCAAGTCAACTCTTCTAAAATGTTTGTAGCCCTTTTCATGCAAACATTGTTTGAGTCTGTGGAATACAATGAATTTCTGAATTGAAGAGAAGGACGAACTCTAGGTTCTTAAAGCTATTTAAAACTTGCACTGAAAATTGTCAAATTGTCAACTCCTTTGTAAGGTCCTGTTCACCTGAGAAAGAAGCAGAATTGCTTGTATTCTTTCTGTTGCTATTTCAACTCTCACAGTTACTGAGGAAAGAAATCAAAACTGTTATCAATTTGTTTACACCAAAAAACCATACCACAGCAGTTATTTTGAACTGTGTGGATTTTCTTTAAGTTCTCTTGCTACTGGAAAACTGGAGATGGGTATTGTCTCCTCAGCAATTAGGGAAAAAAAGATAGGACAAGTACATTCATGCATCAAGCATCTTGAAAATAAAGGTAGTTAATGTTTGATATCCTAGAAGAAGGTGCCAGTGAGGGGATGCAAGATAAAGATGAAGCATTGGGCTAAAAGAGCAATCCATGTTCTGAAGGAACAGAAGCAGCTCTAGATTGTATTGCTCAAAGCTGAAGATGATGTTACCCTGATGAAATTCTATGCATGGATAGATGAGAAAGACAACATTGTAGAAAGATGGTGCAGAAGGAATTAGCAAAATGCATTGAGAATGGATGGGAGGACTCAGAGAGTGTTTGAATGGGATGGGGAGGGAATAGCAACTCCGGGTGGGCTTGAAGCTTTTAGGGGAATTCTGTGGCACATCAGAGAAACTTATTGGAGGGGCAGTGATTTCGGTGCTCCTTGAGTGACTGAGGCATTATGGGGAGTCAGCAGTGAAACTTTTATAGATGCTTAGTCTGCAGAAAGTTCTAAGCATCTGTTGCTAAAACTAAGGTCTCTTCCAGCTGCGTAAAGCTAAGCAGCACAAAATCACTGCTGAACTTATGTTGGCCAACACATAAGCAGCTAAAAGCTGTGAAGTCTCCTCCTGACTTCAGCTATGCCCTGTTTCTAGTGGAAATTTAGGGTTCGAGATGGGGAACACAGGATACAATTTGGAAAATCCAGTTGGATGCTCAGAACCTCTTCCAGGCTTAAAATCTGTGGTGCTGTGGGTGACTGAGCACTGTGGTGGCCTCTTAAGTCTAAGTTCAAAATGTTGCTGACAATCCTGAGTGAGAGAAAGGGGCCAGGATAGTGATATTTTCTCAAAGTTTTAAAGAGCAGTGACTGAAAAAAATGAAATTGTGGAAGTAAGACTCTGTCAGGGTGGAAGTGCAAAACTTCTAAGGTTTAAAAAAGTAAATTCCTGAGCAGAATTGAAGTCAGAATAAGCTGAGAAACTGAAATGAATTCTTGCTCAGGTATGTCCCTGATTTTATTTTTTACACTATTTTATTTTTTACAATTTTTTTT